TTCAATAAAATAATAAAAAATTTAATGTATAGTGCATGAAAAATGCAATAACACATAAAATTCATATAATATAGCATATAATTGTAGAATCATATTGCTAAATGTTAAAAATGACAAGCAATATGAATCCATTTAAGTTTGAACCATTGCGTATGATTCATTTATGCATTTTAATTTTGAAGAAAGATCAGTATACCTGATTAAGAAATATAATTTACACAATATTGATTGTATTTTTATCCAAAGTTTACATCTTTACCACATGTGTGGTCATGATAAGTACTATATATCAGAACTTTTGGATTGTAAATCTAAGTTTGCGACCCGATTCGAATCTCAGTGAGATGTCATATTGAGATATGTGTACCTCACTTTGGGTGCAAATGGGTTAATGCCAAGAAGATGGAATCTTTGGGAAAAGGCAATGTAAAATTCAAAGCAAGATTGGTAGCTAAAGGCTATATTGAGAAGAAAGACACTGATCACAACGAGGAATTCTTTTCTATTGTAAAGTGTTCTTCAATTTGTATTTTGTTAGCTTTGGTGGTGCAGTTTGACATTGAGTTGGCTCAACTTGATGTCAAGACGACATCTTTACATGCTGATTTGGAGGAAGAGATATATATGTCTCAACCATAGGGTTTTGGTCTTGCTGGAAATGAAAATTGGGTGTGGAAATTGCGAAAGTAATTGTATGGTTTGAAGTCGTCTTTAAAGACAATGGTATGAGCGATTTGATCGATTTATGATTGGGTAGATGTATACAAGCAGTCAATATGACCATCGTGTTTATTTTCGCAGGACACAAGAAGGAACCTTCATCTACTTCCTTTTATATGTTGATGATATGCTTATAGCATGTAAGAGCAAAGTGGAGATTGAAAAATTGAAGACTCAATTGAGTAATGAATTTGAGATGAAGGATTTAGGAGAAGCTCGGAAGATACTAGGCATAGAAATTGAAAGAGATAGAGCAAATGGAAAGATTAGTATCTGTCATAAGCAATAGTTGAAGAAAGTACTACATCGCTTTAGGATGAATGACAATTTAAAACTAGTTAGTACCCCTTTTGCCTCTCATTTCAAGCTAGCCATGAGGAGAGTCATTACATGGCTCAAATTCCATATGTGAGTGTTGTTAGTAGTTTGATGTATACTATGGTGTGTACTAAGTCTGATATTTTACAAGATGTTAGTATTGTGAGTAGATATATGCATAATCCTAGAAAAGGACATTGGCAGGCTCTGAAAGGTATATTGTATGTGAAGTGGATGTTGGCTTATTGTTTTAGCGGGATAATGATATTGGTCAATGTATGGTTGGATATGTAGACTTTGATTGCGCGAGTGATTTTGACAAGCATAGGTGATCAGTGCATAATTACATATCATTTTGTACTATCCTAATGCATAATTACATATCATTTTGTACTATCCTAACTTATGTTTTGCTATTGGTTTTAAATGAAACTTGTGCTTTTTAACCCTATTTTATCTTGGTTTCAGTGTAGTTAGCTTTAGGACTCATTTAATGTATTTTGGAGCCAAGATAGCTCAAAATTGTGTCTTCAGATCAGTCAACTTCATTGATTAGACAGTACATGCTCAAGAAGAACCAGCTAATGAGCCATCCACAATTGGCAAGATTTGGAAGTCTAGGTTTTGGATCATTTAATGGTTCATGATTCCGAGTCTTCTAGAGGAAGTTATGGAAGTTTTGGTACCAGATGTTCATTCACAAATTCTGCTCCAAAATTGCCATATAACCATTGCCCTGTCATCATGTTTTGACACCTAGAAGTCCAAGTCAGCAGCTCCACTTGGGATTAGATGTCAAGACAAGCTGGGGGAGTCAATTGCCTCTAGAGAGACAAAGAAGAAAGTCCACCAAAGTAATTAAATGTAGCATATGGCAGCTTAAGTTGATATTCAAAAGCATTTGCGTTACTGTGCCAAATATGATATTTGAAGGCCTTTCCGATATTTCCTTGAGATGAGCCACATATGGTTGGAAAGATAAGACGAATCGGTTGAAGGTCCATATTGTTCCAGAATTTTATGAATGGAGCAACGAGCCCAAATTATGCCTATAAGAAGACTACAATGCTTTCACTGACAATAAAAACTTTATATATATAATCCACTTCTATTGAGGGACACCTTTTTGGGTCCCCTACGATATTTTTTTCAATGATCCAAACAATCTATTTTTTAAGCATTCATAGATCATCCTTGCAAAAAATTAGACAAATCGGAAATCGTGATTTTTTGTAGAGATGATCTTTGAGTGAATATCTACAAAATAGACGGTTTAGATTAGTGAAATACAATGCGGAGTGGGCCCTACAAGGGTGTCCCTCAAATAAGAATCCCTCAACTGAAGCTCTTTGTATATATATATTAGCTTTTAAAGAGAAACACTTCAAAGAAAATACAATGGAGGACAATCATTGAGAGTCTTTATGGTATTACTATTGAGATGGCTCCTAATCCAAGTAGCAGTGAGAGCAGTTGATGTGCCTTCTCACTCTCTTTCTCCCTCACTTGTTTCTCATCTCCATACGTTCTCTTTAGTTGATGGTCGTTTAACCTTTATAATTAATCATTACATTTCAAAAAATGTGCACATATATTTAGATATTATTTGTGTATATTATAATCTAAGAATTATAATTTTCTAAATGATTTTAAACTTCACATAAAATTGATGTGTTTTACTAAAAACATAACTCCATATTTTATCCCAAATTTTTTATGGTTATCGCCATTTCTTATTTAATATAATATGTGTAAACACTTTATATTCCATACTTTCAAGTACTGTTTTTGCTAATTTTGGCTGGTTTGTGTATTAACAAAGATGTATTACAAAACTTATATGGTTTCATGATTAGTTGAAGGTGGCTCGGGAAAGTGGGACCAGTAGAAAATGTAAGATAGTTTACTATCCTAAACTCACATGAAGTTGGTCTTCTAATCATTATCGGATTGCAAAGGGGTTTCTAGTTCTATTAGGATTAGGTGATCTTATTCAATTGCATTAAAGATACCTCAAGGAGTTTCTTGATGGGCAAGACTCCTTGAGTGATGTGTGTAAATAGAAGAGCTCCCTCTAAAGAGCCGATACACACAACTCATCAAGATATTCACCTCATTTAGAATATAGAGCTAAGGGGCATCGACAATTTTAAAGAAGACTCTTAAATCTTTACTATTTTAATTTGTTTTGACAAATGTAGATCATGTGGATAATGATTAAAATAGTATGTACCGGAAAATAAAGCTAAGAGCATCGAAAATTCTGCCTTTAGTTTCATGTGTTCCTTTCATGTCCACGCATCAACGTGATAATATAAGCTGCATATCTTTGGCCTTCACCCCTGTGTTTCATGCTCGCACTAAATACTATGTACCGGAAAAGATTGTTCGCATGGAGCTGATATCTTTACCAATGAGATTATGATTTTTGGTATGCAAAGCTACTGGTACATACGTTCTTGCCCCATTAGCTTACAGGGGTATGATAAACCATTATTTGTGGGTTCAGCCTTAGCATCATATTATTAGCATTCTTAATCCTGATGTGATCTTTTCCATTTGAGGAGCTCATATCGTTGAGTAATTTTTTTGTTATTGCAATCCGGTCATGCATTAAAACCAGTTCCCATGTAATAATTTGACTGGTAAAATATAATAACTTTTCGATATCTTTTGCCCCTTTTAGTGTTTACATCATATTGTAAATGTTATCACTTGTTGATAAAAAAATTGTATTGTGCATCGACTTATCTTCTTCTAAGATATCATTTATATATAACAATAGTTATACGCCCTACATGCATCAATTTGTTGATCAAGTTAATGACACCACTTATGTGATACATGACATGAGTTGTGATATTATATACTGCATAAGTTGGTTTCATTAAGCAATAATACTAGAGGTGTCAACTTAGATAACAACTTAGTAATACCAACACATGTGGCAGAATATGGCCATCAAACCCACCATCACTTCTCCATTAAGGAAGTTGAGCCAACGTTGTCATTCTGAGGCCACCGTACCTGGTTGTCTGGCTGTCATCACCACTAACCCACTACCAAAATTGTATATCTAGGATCTTGTTAAAGAGCACATGGATTGGTGGAATGAAAATGAGCTTTTATCCCTTGCAGAACATTTTATGTTGGTTAATTGGTTGGATGTGAACTAGGATTTTGAGGGACAAGACCATGAAATCTCAATTTAAAATAATAACATCTGTTTTGCTATTTATTAGTGTATGAAAATATAACATATGGATATTGAGACCTGGATTTTTGTTCCTTCTCTTTCATGGAAGAGGACCTAAATTTATATCTTATATTGAAATCTCAATTTAAAATAATAACATCTGTTTTGCTATTTATTAGTGTATGAAAATATAACATATGGATATTGAGACCTGGTTTTTTGTTCCTTCTCTTTCATGGAAGAGGACCTAAATTTATATCTTATATTTTTTTTGGGGGGTCCAAATCTGAATTCCATTCAAACCAAAAGGGAAGAAAATACAAAAGAAAGGTCAAAAAACTAACCAGCTGATACAAACCAACATAACTAACAGTGACAGCAAAGAGAAGTTCAAAATAAACCAACCAGGAAGGAATAGCAGTAAGGTAAACCATCCGAAGCTTAAAAACAGGAGACGGCCGGGGCTTTGTTAAATATTAAACTAGTTGGAATTTATTAATGAAATAGGTTTCGTTTTACCAAACAAAAGAAAACTTTTAAATTGAATCAATAAGTTTACATCACCAGCAAGAATATCAAAAAGCCCAACCGGCATCTGCAACGATTAAAAGAACCTAAATTACTTGCAACATAAGACAAAACGGCATGTGCAGCCCCATTGCACCTACTTTGGAAAAAATGAAAACATCGCGTTCCTACCTATCTAGCAAGCCAAATGCACAGCCAAAGCCACCTGTTCCACGAGCTGCCACCATCCCAACTGAACTTAATGATTGGAAGTGAAGCCAGTGACTCTATCCCTCGGAATCAATTCCCATCTTGACTCATCAAACCACCCATCTTCCTCCTTCTTGATCCTCTCCCTTAAACTAATCATTTTTGACGTAGTTTTAGAAGGAGATGTAGCCGTATTCTCCAACTCCCCCAACCCGGTTTTGCCATTAACATCAGAAGAAGCTTCACCCCTTTGGCATATTCCACTTCTTCCCTCATCTCCACCCCGACTCCCAGAATCAAAAGCAGTATGCGATGCGGCAAATTCATGCTTCCTCACGGGAAGGTCCTTCACATCCAAATGGCTGAAACCATAAAATAAAGTGATCTCACCCTGCATTTCTTCCGCCTTCAGCTCTCCTTTTATTCTTTCCTCACACACATTCGTCGTATGTCGCAGGCAGCCACAAATTAAACAGTAAGCATGGAGATGCTCGTATGAAAACTCAATCCATTTTTTACCTATTGGAATACATAGTTAAAAGATATTATTATTCATATCAACAAGGTTGTTAGAGATTGTTAGAATTCTTGTTATAATTGTTAAAGAGGGTTACAACTTTTAGTTTTAGTTAGAGAAGAAGCTCGATTGTTAACTCTGTAATTAGATCAATCAATGAAATTAAAGTATGTCCAGTTCTATATTTCTCGCTGAAATTGTTTGCATCTTAACATATTACCTTCCTCCGGGAACTCCACGAATGCCCCACGCATCAATGGCTGCGTTACATCAAATCGAATGCGGACCCTCACAAATCCACCAATGTGGTCAGGCCCCTCCAACTGATCCACATCTAGAACCCGCCCTATGAAGCCTCCAATCTTGCGCGCTACCGCCACGGACATATCCAGCGGTGGAATGCCATATAATTGAACCCAAAACACTGCATGTGTAATATCAAAGGTACGAAAGTTGTCCCCTCTTTTCACATCAGCCAGGAGGACAAGAGAATTCCTAAAGTTCCACAGTTCCATATCTAAAACCCTTTTCTTATCACGAAGACTAGTAAATCGTGCTACAAACCGGCATTCACCGATATCCTTGATTGACACCCCTTGTTCCCCACACCATAAGGTTGTGAAAACCTCGATGAAAGCATCTCTGTTCATAGATTTGTTTGTGAGAACTCGAGCTACCAGTAAATACTGATAGGCCACCAAAGTGTCAGAGAGTTCTTCCATATCAATCTTCATGATGAGCACATAATTATTACAAGTTTTATCCCTAAATATATATTTGTTAGTACTGTAATTTATTTGATTTTGAGCTATTTAGGCTAAAGTTTGGTTTTTATAAATTTGGGCATTATGCTAATAAAAGTATTGGAAATTAAAATTACTACTTTTTCTTTGTAGGCTCTTGGTAAGATTTGCAGCAATAAATAAAGGAATTACTAAGAGGATATTGAAATGAAGAGTGAAGTGCCGCACCAATACATAAAGGAAAGGACAAGAAGCAATGAATGCACCAGCCAAAGGAAATGAAGGGTGGCTGCTGTAGATGGAAAGAAAGTTTGTGTTTTACCTAGCATATGGTGTCATGGCATACGCAACTCATTTGTTGAAAGAACAAATAAACAAATGAAAGCTAATAGGTAAATGGCAGCAAGAAGATCAGCACTTGCCAAAGAAGATTTATCAAAGGAAGAAGTGGTGATGGCATTGATATAAATAAAACAAAAGCATTGAAGTGTGGCAGCCAAACAAATGAGGATGAAGATTTGGAGGGTGCTGCCGGCACTAGAGGAAAATAAACAAGGGAAGCAAAAATGGTGATTGGCTTGGTGGCAAGGTGGAGAAGTTATTTATTCAAATGAAGTTGGAATTGTCTACTTTCATTCTCCTATAAAGAGAAGGAGCTACGGCATTGTAAAATCACACCAAGCTCCACAACTCTTGAGCTTTCTCTCTTCCCTCCATCTTTCTAAGTTTTAATTTCTGTTTTTAGTTTTATTATGGGGAACTAACTCCCTAGCTAAGGCTAGGGAGAAAGCTTTTAATATAAGTGTGTAATTTTTATTAGTTTGATCCAAACTTAAGCTTTAATGTGAATTTGTAGTTTTTGTTCAAATGGAATTTGTAGTTTTCTTTTTAATTAATTGATGAATGTTTGATAATCTATTTCATGGGTTCAATCATGTTTTTCCCATTGTGTAGTAAAAACTTTCATGCTTTTAAAAGAGAAGAGAATTACTAAAGATTAATAGAATTTTGATGAAGATTATTTTTTGATAGTTTGTTGCCAATGGTACAAGTTATGCTTAGAATACTTCTAAAGGAAATGAAAAAGAGCTTTAATTATTTTGAACAACTACAATGGAAAATATTTTGTGGATCAAATTATTAAGAGTTGCATGCTTATGTTAAAAGTGGAACCCCAATGCCTTAGTGTTTTAATCAATTAAATTTTCTCTAAATCAAATCTTGCATAAATCTACTTTTCAATCATAATTGTTCTTTTTCAGCTCTGCTATCTTTACACTGCTCTCTGTGGATACGACACTCGGACTTCCGAGCTACACTGCTATACGACACCTCCCTTGGGTTTTGCAAAGTGGTGCGAACACTTCACCACTAACCTTTCCTTCTCAGACAAATGCAATTTTGCCCTAAACCTCTTGTTCATATCATCCATGGCCGTCATGATGCCCTAGGGTTCCTGCGGTTGTCTATATTGACGAGCACGCACCATCACTTCTGGGAATTATGTAGAGCTTACATTCGCTTCAGGGAATTATGTAATGCTTATATTTCTTCAGGAAATAATAGATCCAATCATATGAAATTTGTGGATGCATAATAAAGACTTTTTATTTACCAACAATTGAAACACATCATATTTTCCATATTGCTACTGTTGGAGCACCTGGAATATGAAAGGATAAATTTATTCCTTTATGCTCTTCCACATTACAATCCTACATGGATCTCTATTTTCTTTCTCATTTGTATATATATAAGATTATCCACTTTTATATCCATGAAAAATAGAAACAAAAAAAATTCATTGAACTTCTGGTTCATATAATATACTTAAAACATTCTTTCTGGACTTAAAATTTCAAAATCCATAACTTCTGGTTTATAGATAACTTCTGGTTCATAATACAAATTAAATATCCAAAACTTCAAGTTTGATTAAAATGTGTAATCAAAACTTCAATTTTTGAATTAAGTATGTCATTGCAAATAGTTCAGATTTTTATAATCTCAAATTAAATTTTGTATTTCAAATATGTATAATGAAACTTCTAATTTCAACTAATTGCTTAACATGGAACTTCTGGTCCAAATAAGATATAAATAAATAATTCACAAAGATAATAAAGTAGTACTAATTAAAAAAACAAAAAAATTACAATAATAATCACACTGAGTTCCAAAAATAAAAATAAAATATGAAACATAAAATAGAATGTTATAAGATAAATTGAATATATCGAACGGTTTTAATATAAATTTAATTTATAGAATAACATATTCTAATATGAAGATATTCGTAAATTTCTATTATAAACTGAAAATTTAAAAAGTTTCAAACTTCAAGTTTTAAAGTATAGAACTTCAAATTCTAGCGAGTAATATAAATTAAACTTCTGGCTATAGACTAAACTAGCAAAGGTGCCCGCGCAATGCTGCGGGTTTTAAAACAGTCTGAAATCTGTATAAAGTTATGAAAATATGTAGCAAGTTTAAGTTACAAAATAAAGACTAATAACATGTTTTATATGTTGCTCGTTATCTTTTAAAATAGAAACATAACAAAGTGGATGAAACAAATTAAATAAGGGAAGAGTAGAAAAGGAGAATGAGCAAAAAGGAAAGAGCAGAAAAGGTTTAGTGGAGGGCATTTTCGGCAATTCACTGTGCTGTAGAGAAAACAAAACTGAAAACAACAGTAAAAAGAGGGACAATCCCTACTAATCTTTTTCAACTCTTTATATTATGGTAATAAGATATTCTTGAGAGTTTCGCAATACCAATAAATATATAAATTACTAAAGCAAAACCATAGAGCCCTGTTTAACACCTTAACCACATAATTTTTATCTTCCTCTCCTCAAATATAATGTTTTACAGTTCATTGCCCTCAACACTCAATGGGACATTATACAAAAGAATAATACTGCTTACAGAACCATAAGATAAATCGTAAATAGTAAGACATATAACAGCCCCGATTCTTTCATATAAGATATCAGAGTCTTGCATATAAAGGTCTAATACCATCATGAATATCAGAGTCTTGCATCTTAAAAAGATTCCATGATAAGAGATATAATTTTTTACCACTTCAATATATCCAATCAACCATCAAGTATAAGTGGCCAAACAATATTTTGCATAAGTAGGTAAAAACATTCCCCCTTGTGTTTCCTTTTTCAACCGAAAGAAGCACAGTTTCACATATCATTTATAACTCGAAGATATAATTCAGCTTTTGATACCCAAAACTCTCATTGAGAAAAGCATATCAGTCAATACAATGACCAAAACATTGCAAGTAGCATCCATCAACATTTGCCAATGCTCAAATGTAAAGTTTTATCTATCACATAAATTCATGAGGAGAGGCACTCTGATTCACCTGCACATTTTGTAGATTGTCTGATTGCAAAATATCTGCCAACCTTAATAAGATCTTAGACTTGTTGTTCTGCCACATCAATTGCAAGAGAAATATCAATATCACTTTTAGAAACTCCAAATGAGTTGCCACACGACCCATTTTGTGCAAAAGAATCTCAACTTGACAGCTATGGGAATATGGGTTCTATTCTATTGGCCGGATATCAATACCGTCTACTCATCATGGAAGCTAGTGTGGCCAATGCATCAGCAAACTTGAACAGGAGAACAAATGAAAAGAATGTTATCTGATGATGAAGAAGAGGACCAAATGGATGAACCAATTCGCACCATACTAGCTGGTTGGATTTTTCTCATCAGAGAGTTTTCCCTTTCTCAACAACGCCAACGAAGTTGCACAACTGATTGGGAACTTCGGTTCCCACGAAGAGAAGAGAACAGAGCTGGAGGGCATTGCAGCCAATTCACTGCTCAAAAGTCAGCTCAAGGAAGCAGATCATCACTAAAGTGGGGGCAAAATTGACAATTCACTATTCCTAAGCTACAGTCTAAGAATAGTAACTCGGATTCAGTTTTAGTATATATATAATTTGATCTTGAACATCATGTTCAAAAAGATCATATCAAAGTATTGATTTTAAGAAAAAATATGTTCAAAACTAAATTATGAATCAAAGGTTTTTCAAGCTCAATTTGATAGCAATAGCATAGATATGATAATTGAAGAACTTCGGGTTCCAATTAGATTGTGTGATATAGAACTATAGGTTCTAATTAAATATAAGACTAATGAAAACTAAGAACCAATGAACTTGAAAGTTCCAATCTTTTGATTCCTTTGTGGAAAACATGATAAAGATAAAAGAAAAAACAACGTTACGTTTGATTCTGAACTTCAAGTTCAATTAACATTTTATATATGTTATGCCAGAACTGTAGGTTCTTGATAGGATATGAACTACAGGTTCATATTAATATTAATCTCAATAGACAATTATGAACTTTGGATATAAATTAACGTATATCTGAAACTTCAGGTTCGGGTGCATATATCAAATTAAAAAGAATATATGGTTTTGAACTGCAGATCCAAATTTGTAGTAATATGATATTGTTCAAGGTAATAAAATAAAACAACAATAAATAAAAAATAGAAGACATGAAATCCAAATAATGTTGGAACTTCAGGTTCTTAACATGATGTATATTTTTCAGCCCAAAATCATAATACATATGCACTTGTTGAAATATCAATTTGGAGGTTGACACAATTAGAACTTTAGGTTCTAGAATTTACCTATTTTAATGCATATGTGGCCGAAACTTATAGTTTGGATTAGACAAAATAAGAACTTCGGGTTCTAAGATATTTGAACTTCGGGTCATATGAGGAACTTCAGGTCCTTAAATATAAATTATTGAAATGAAAACAAATAACTGAATATAACAATAAAAATAAAATAATAATTAAAATACTGGAACAAAATAAATTGTTGGAACTTCTGGTTCCAAGTTAGAGAAAAATCAAAGAACTCCAAGTCTTGATTTACTTTTTGAGAATTGCAGAACTCCAAGTCCTTATATAGATATTATATGGATTGAGA